GATCATATTCATTTACCCGCTGGGCGATCTTCCGTAGCAATTACAGGGATTATATCTTCATTGAAGATGACTTTGTGAAGATTACTCTGTGGGGATAATCTCATGGAAGTGGCTCTGTGGGGATTTAGGGATGGCTCGGACATTATCCCAACTCCTAGAGTCTTGAGTAAATGTTATTTCAATTCATATGCATATATTTGTTAACAGTTAATCATGTTCATATGCATATGTTCACTCAATTTTAGTCATTGGACGTTTTTACAAACAAAACAGAAAAATTAAAAAACAGAAAGTTTGAATTTTAGGGTGTATCTGTATTGATAGTTTTCCCATAAACAAGGGATTTTGTACAAGGAGACATAAATCCTAGCAAGGTGAAATTGTCCTCGAAATGAAAAGAGTACAGAGTGAAAACAAAACATATATCTATGTGGAAATGATCTCGTTGGCTTCCAACTCTGTTATTGCCCTTATGTCTTCGAACATTTCATCCCTTGCTGTCAGAAGAAGTTGATTGAAATGATCGATACCATTTAAACTTTGACTTTGGTGATAAAGCTTCAAGTAAGTGATCCAATGGGACATAGTCGTACGCTTTTAATCCCTAACTTTTGCCTGGAACACCCTTTCGGGTTTTCAGTCCACCGAGGTACCCTGTCTTGAGCCATGTAATTAGGTTAAGATGTTGTATTTGAGCTCTTGAGATCATGATTTAAGCCATTAGGTCATGCACTAGGCCAACCGTCAATGATCAGTCATCTTCAATCAAAACCCTAATTTTGGCAATTTTTGACCTTTGATGATTTAAGGGCTTTCCTTGAGGAATCATGATCAAACTTAATCAAATGATGAATACCAACTCAAAATATTGATGTTGATAAAAAATCTTGAAGTTTGACTGTATATTTACCATAGTTGACTTTTTGTCCAATATAGTTGATTTTCAGTCATCTGAGCAATTTACTGAGCAAACTTGTGACGCAAGACTTGAAACTTGGCATAAGCATTATTGAGGACCTATGATGAATTATAAAATTAATTTGAGACCCTTTCAGCCCAATCTTCCTTGAGAAGCACAAAACCCTAGTTGAAGACCTTTGCTTAGGAGGAGGTTTGACCAGTCAACCCTTGAGTAACTTTTAGTGTTTGAGATCTTTGTGAACATGTTTAAATGGGAGGGAAAATTTTGGGGTATAACACCAACAAAAAATAGCACAACACCATCTTGCACAGACTCATCTACTTGCTTAGAAGAAAAAAACAAATCCCTCTCGATACTATAATCAAGAAAGATAATTGTCTTATCAAAATAGTTGATATAAACATGATTGTGCTCCAACCAATTCATACCAAGAACCACATCAAGTTGATCTAACAGAAGACAAACTAAATCAATCCTAAATTCTTTACCAAAGATACTCAATGGACAATTTAAACACACAATAGAAGTAGACAGAGAACCCATAGCAGGAGTATCAATAACCATATTTCCATGTGAAACAACCGGCTGAACAATCATCGAGATGAAATAAATAAGTCGCCATCGAACGTTTTTTATCCCACAGGATGGGAAAGGTAAACATCGAGTAAACCTGAGATGGGTGAAATCAAGGTCAAACGACCAGGAGATATGGGTAAGGGAGTCTGTTACACAAAGGGAAGGTATTAGATCCCCACATGCCCGTAGTACTCTACGGTATCCACTCTTGTTGTTCTAATCAAAGAGTGTGTAAGAATCTATATCTAAGTTGTACAGGGAATGCATGCAAAAGAAAAGAGAAAATAATGTAGGGAAAATAAAAGTTGTGCTCGTTCGGGCCCTATCTCGATGCCTACGTATCCCTTTTAAGGAATCAGAGCAGCCATAGTTCGGCTCACAAGTTTTTATTGGTTTGTATTTTTTAATGAATGACATTAATTTCGCCTTCTGCCGCAGCTCGACCTTTGGAGACTCACGCGTCATCACATAAGTGAATTAACATGTTCTTTTGAAAAAGTTTGAAAGAAAGGCCTGAAGGCGCAAAAGAGTTTGTATTGGTTGATATCTTTTACCTTAAAGAAGGATTTGGAAGTTGTTAGATGTTTTATGCATTTTGCCAAGAAAAAGAGTTTTAGTCTTAATGCAAGGATGAAAATGAAAGAAAACCATCTAAGGGAGACTAACCAAAATCTATCCCTAATGTTATCATACAATGATTGATCCTAAGGTTGAGGATGAAAGGGAAATCTATAACCTATGTTAGCATGCATGGATACCTATCCTAATGTCTAGCTCGACAACTACTCTAATCGAGCGATCCTAAGGGAAGCATACAAATTTCTATCCTAAGGGAACATGGTATAGCAAACAAGTTCTTTGGAAAAAGCACACAGACATATTGACTCAAAGGGACTGGGAAACAAGAGAAATGCTTTAGCTAAGGGGGGCGTATCACCCGAAGAAAACAAGCGGGAGACAGATGAAATAAAAAATTATGACGTCCAAAGCGTTTGAACACCTAACCAAGATAAATAAGATCTAGGTAGGCGACAAAAGACAATATAAACGATCACAAAGTGTCAACATCGGCTAATGCAAACTCCTGACGAAGCGTGGGGGTTTGATTGCAAAACCCTTCCCCATTTAAAGGATTGATACACAAGATCTGCACGACTCCAAAGCATCGAAGTACAACATGAGCTAAGGATGACACAGACTAGAACGTGTGGGGGTCGATTATGGATCCTCCCTGCTTGCCTCCTTTTGAGGACTTATCACCTGTAATATATGCAGGCACAAATTTAAACACACGTGCAGAATACCTACTTCAAAGGTAGGATTTTAAACAATCATAATTATCATACAGAAAGCGGTGCCTGCTACAGGACTTTAAATAGCGAATTCGAGCGCACACTCTTTATTTCCTGCTTCCTACTTCACATGATTTCTAGAAAGCAATAAATTCCCCTACTATACAAGATCTCTAGAAAGCATTAAAATGCGGAAATGAAGAATGAAGTCATGATAATACCTAACGGAGTAGGTCCGTTTCCTCTTCTAAGAAACATAAGCGATAAGAAAACTCTACACCAAGCTTCCTCGAATTTCCTTGATGAGGATTATGCTCTTAGCTTGCTTCGAAGGTTCTTGAACTTCTCAACCAAGTCCCTTATATTCAACAATATCATACAAAAATTAATTGTACAAAAGTACAAGCAAGAAGTTTAATACAAAAGAAAGAAACATGGGTGTAGAGTTTTGGCCCAGAGGTATACTAACCTAGGTGCAGACCCAACATTCCAGGTCCAATTGGCAATCTTTTTTGTAAAGCAATTGGAATACTAAAAAAAACCACTCGGGCCCATAGGATGTATGGCTCGGTCCACCAAATTAACATCACCATATCCATCTATTTTCTTACAACGTTATTCATTATTATTAATAATTAATAAAAAATAATGAAACAAATTGAAGGAGAGAGTGAGAAGAGCGGAACAATGATGTTTTGTGTTGGCTAGGGTTCCCAAATTTGTGGTTGTGTAACTTATTTGTAAGCTCTCCTTCCTCTTCACAGAAAAAATTGTGTCGCTTCAACCTCCCTTCTTCTCAATCTGCGGCGGTGCTCTTTGTTTTCATTGATACACAACGGCGACTACATCCTTCATCTTCATTTCTCAGTCAGTTTCAATCTCTTACGACTCTATCAAGTTTATCCGTTAGTGACACACTCCGCCATGACCACACGACCGCTTATCATCTCGCCTTCATCGATTCAAATCACTTTCTTGAAAATCCACACCGACTGCTAATAGAGAATGTTGTGGTATAACGAAATTGATGAAGAATAGAGAGAGACCGACACCTACCGACCGGAGAACATCCGGTGCATCTTTGGTAAAGGTAATTAGCAGCAGACAACCAAAGATCTCTAGGTAAGAGTTTGGTCTTCGACTTCTTCTGATATTTTCGTCCTTGCGCCCTCTTCTTCTTCTCGTATTTCTGAATTGGTTGCGTTTTGACGCGTGATTTGTTATCACGTCTTTGTTGCAGATTCTTGATGATGATGATGATGATGATGAAGATGAAGATTGAGGGAGGATGAAGCTGAAAGAGGTGGAGAGTTGAAATCATAGAGAATTTGGTGGATGAAGCAGTGAAGTTTTGATGGAAGGTGGAGTGAAAGAGATGAAGAACGAGGTTCGGAAGAGGGAGTGAGAGATGAAGATTGAAGAGAGAGAGAGAGATTTTTCTGATTTGTGGTGGTGATTCTTCCAGAATATTGAATAATGGTGAAGATAAGGATGCAAGGAGAAGAACAAATGTGATGACGAAGAAAGAAGAGAAGATGTGGTTATGGTACCGAGATTTTTTTTAATTTTTGGTGGTGATTCTTCCAGAGTATTGAATAATGGATCGTAGAAGGTAAGCAATTTTGTTTATATATTGATGTTATTGCTGTTAGAATCTGTTAGATGAAATAAAAAATCGGTTAGGGGTTGAAAAATTAGTTAGAGATTTGTTTTAATTTGAATTGTTGCTTTTTTTATTTCTATTAGAAATCTGGATGGCTGGTATTTATTCTGTTATACTGCACAATCTCTATTTTCTGGTTTTCCTCTATTGCCTTTTCTGAAATGAAACAAAGGGTATAGTTGGATTTCTTTTGACTTTTCTGTTGCGACAGTTTTCTTCCTTATCTCTTATATTTCCCTGATTTTTTACCTTGAACAGGGTCACAGTTTGGATCACAGGCCACTGGTTTCTACACTGATAATGCAGGGTAACTTGTATTTGATAACTGGTTTCAATGTCAATATTTTTCTATTTTGTTCAGTTTTCTAGCATTTTCTCTTTGTCCTCTATGAGTTTTCTATATCAGTTATGAATAATAATCGAGATTGAATCCCATTTTTCTTCTCTCTAATTTTATTAATGCAGGCTGCAGGTTTGGATAATTGATATAGGGTTGAACTGTTACGCAGGCCCTTTCCTACTGCACATGGTCAGTCTGTTGTATGTTTTAATAGCAGGGCATTGCTTTGGCATTGTCATGGACTAAATCAATAGAAAATCTCAAGTGGTATGTATGTTTTGATGTAGAATGAGCTTGAAACTTTATTAGTATGATTTTGCAACTTGCACTAGTTCTACCTTTGGTGTGTTTTGAATCATCCCCTATTTGAAATGAAACTTTGCACACCATCTTGAAATTGTTATTACCTTCACTATGTTGACTGAATAAGTGCACTTGTTTATTAGAAAGATTCTATGAATTGTTAAGCATAGGCCAACTTCGCAGGGCTTTTAGCTAGCAAGGGCATGGTTACTTTGATGTTAACATGATTATATTAGTAGTTTGCCTCTGTTTTTGATGCAAGAGCTATATGATGAACACCGGGGCTGGTATAAGGAATAGGTGTTTTGTTAATGACTTGCAAGGATATATGTATGGTCTTTTTAATTTTCTAAATGAGTGGACTATTTTTCTGGTATTCCTCAAATGATTTTATGCAGGGTTGTTAATTGATGTAATGATCAACATTATGTCTGTTGCGTTTTTCTCTTTCCATGTCATGTGATGCAAGTTTTTTGCTGCAAGTATAAGCCCTTTTTTGATTGTTTCATCTGGTTTGCATGCAAGGCTGACTCGGTGTAGATTCAGATATGGGGCAAGACGACATGTTTGTGACTACTGGTGTCGCAGTAAGGCACAATCATTGATAGGCTGAAGACATGTTAATGTTGCTTAATACTAAACTGGATCATAGTTCAAGAAGATGATTGTTATAGCGCGGTTGTTTGGTTTGATTCAGTTTTGGAAAAATGAAGCATGGTTAGAAGACGGAGATAGAATTTAGGATTTGATTTTCACGTACTTGCAATTTTTCTTGAATATATATTGTAAAACTTCTATGTAATATTTTTGAATGGAAATTCGCTTTAAGCATGGCTTGATGTATCATGAATGAATTTTGAAACTTGATCTTGAAGAGACTTGAATGAATCTTGAATGTAATTTTGACTCTGATGAATGATAATGTTTGTTTTGTTTTGAATCGTTTTTTGCACGAAACTCGCGAAATGATTTTGAATATTATATGAGAACCTTGACTTTCACAAATTTGCGAGTATAATGTTGAAGTCTTCTAAGTGGTTTCATGAAAACTTTATATTATGAAGGACTTATGTACAAATGGTTGGCCTTTACAATATGGAATCCCTGACCTTTCGAATGAACCTTGATCAAAATTCCTGCCTTGTATCTCACGATTCCATAAGAAACTTGCATTAAAATCAATCATGCCATACTTGAAACATCTTAATACAATTAAAGGAATTCAAGAGAAAACAAGGTCCATTATTCTTAATGTCTTGGTATTTGAAGCAATCCTTGATTGCACCAAACTTGGACTAGTGAGATATGGTTCCTCAGACGAGGTCTCAACGCACATCTTTCTCAATGCTTTGATTCAAAAATCACTCAAGAATGAAATTCAAAATAAAACCCAAACTTTGATCGCACATAGGGGAGTAAACCCTACTACATCCTCAAGTCCACAAGTAACTTTTCTTGACAAAACTCTGATGATATCAACACAAGAAGAATATTGTATAAGCCTTTAGATGATGATGAGACTTGACAAAGAACAACAATACATCTTGATAAGAAAGGGACCCATAATGGAATACCAAAACCGTAGCTCAAGTCAACTTAAGATAAAACCCTAATCTCATGAGAAACATAGGGAAATAAACCCTTAATAGCCTTGTAGCTTGATGAAGAAAGAAATTCTCAATGACCATGAATTACAACCCTAATTCCACTGCTCATTGATTGAAGAAGAAATCAGCCTTTATTTGATATATTCATCTCAGTTAGTGACAACCCTAACTTGCACAATAAACTAATCTTTTGTACCATGGAACTTTATTGAATGCAATGTTATGGTACGCAAATGACCTAATGAAAAGACGCAAATGTGATACTAAGCTTAAGCCAGATAAAAGAAATTAGGAGGGAAAATTTTGGGGTGCAACAACTGCCCCTATTTAATCGCCTTCAACCTGAAGGTGAGATTGGCGCTAGCCTTTCGAGCATTCAAGGTGGAAGAAGATTAAATACTTAAAAGAATCCGAAAATTTGCACTCTGCATCCAGTCAGGTATTATTATATTTTTTGGTTTTCTGTATTTTCTGTTTTTTTTTCTTTTTGGGTAAAAGGGGTTATCTAAGGGTAAATGTATGTCAGACCAGGGTTAGACATACAGAAGAGAACTTGGTTATCAAGAAACATCTTGTCGGAGTTAGTAGCGAACACATGACAAGAAAGATATCAGAAGTGCATGTTCGGGGTTAGTAGCAAACACACACAAGGAAGATATCAAAGATATATACCCGGAGTTGGCAGCGGACATAAGGAGGATATTGAAGATGGAAGAGATCTAACAAAGTGATCTCGACCGAATATATCAAGGAAGGAATAAATCTAACACAACGACTTCAACCAAAAATATCAAAGAAGGAAGAGACCTAACACAACAAACTCAACCGAAGATATCGGAGATGGAAGAGATCTAACAAAGTGATCTCGACCATATATATCAAGGAAGAAAGAAATCTAACACAGCGATTTCAGCCAAAGATATCAAAGAAGGAAGAGACCTAACACAACGGACTCGACCGAAGATATTAAAGATGGAAAAGATCTAACAAAGCGATCTCGTCTAGATATATCAAGGAAGGGAGAAATCTAACACATCGACTTCAACCAAAGATATCAAAGAAGGAAGAGACATAACACAACAGAATCGACCAAAGATATCAGAGATGGAAGAGATCTAACAAAGCGATCTCGACCAGATATATCAAGGAAGGAAGAAATCTAACACAACGACTTCAACCATAAATATTAAAGAAGGAAGAGACCTAATACATCAGAATCGACCGAAGATATCAAAGATGGAAGAGATCTAACAAAGTGATCTCAACCAGATATACCAAACAAGGAAGAAATCTAACACAACGATTTCAACCAAAGATATCAAAGAAGGAAGAGACCTAACACATCGGACTCGACCAAAGAAATAACACCGATTGAAGGTGAACTGGGGGTAAAATGTACGTGTCTGGTCAAAGTTAAACACATATAAGAAAGAGACCGACCGAAGTAGACTCTTAACAAAGGATACCTGCACAAAGGCGAGTCAACAAGGAGACTAAGCCGAAGGTAGACTCCTAAGAAATTAACGCTGATCAAAGACAAACTCCACAATAAACTGAAGACTGGCTGAAGGTAGACTTTTAACAAAGATAATGGAGATATATGTCAGGCCAGAGTTAAACACATACAAGAAAAAGACCAGCCGAAGAAGGCTCTAATGAAGGAACGCCAATCAAAGGTAAAATTACTAGGGATACAAATAGACATTGACTCTGAATAGAATGCTGATCGAAGGTGAACTTACAAAGAAAAGAGATAAATCGAAGGGGACTCTTAACATAAGGTACCAGCCAAAGGTGGATTTTAAGGGTGAAGAATGTTGATCAAGGGAAAACTTACAAAGAAAAGAGACCAACCGAAGGGGACTCTTAACAAAAGGTACCAGCTGTAACGCCCGGAAATTCATTAAATTATTTAAATGAATTATTGAGGATTTAAATTGTTGGAATTTAGTCGAAGAAGGAATTATCAGAATAATTATTAGGAGAATTATTGGATTGTTTGAATGGATAATCGAATAATTAGTCAATTTAGTCAAGAGAAATTAATATTGGATTTAATGTTGATTTTAGTAGAATGTTATTTTATTAGTTGGGTCAAGTGGGGTGTGTGAAATAGCAAGATTAGGAATAGAATTAATAGGCCCATTAAAGTTACTAGTAGACCTATTATTATATTAGGTTATAATATATAGAGGTTAGCAACCAAGCAAAAACAATTATCACGTAGCAGTAGAAGAAGCAAGGGTTTGGAGGCACCAAGTGGGAGGCAAGAAAATTTAGAGAACTCACCGTCAAACCAGTTGCAGTTTCAACCGGAGAATTCGACCGACCGAAAAACCAAAAGGTAAGGGTGGGGTTCGGATTTTATAACTGGGAATATGATGGTTAGTATGTAGGATTGGGGTTATGTAATTATCTGTTATCTGTGTTGAATTTTGTGTTGAATTTTCGTATAGAATAAATTATGTTGTTTGATCAATGGAGTAATAGAGTATAATGATTAGGTGATGAATTACCATGATCATAATGAGGTTTTTAGGGCTGTAGTATGATTCCCGTAGCAAAATACAGTAGAAAACGCAGAAAATTATGCAGACTGTCAAAAGATGTGTCGACCCTAAGCTGCATGTGTCGATACATGAAGGATATTGGACTCAGGATGTGTCGATGCATGCAGGGCTTGCGTCGATGCATGTTAAGTATAAGAATCAGGATGAGTCGACGCGAAGAGAGGATGTGTCGACACATGAGTGTGTGAGACTCAGGATGAGTCGACCGGTGCGATGCATGAGTGTGTGAGACTCAGGATGAGTCGACCGGTGCGATGCATGAGTGTGTGAGACTCAGGATGAGTCGACCGGTACAATGCATGTGTCGATACATGCTGGGTTTTGAAGCAGAATAAGTCGATCCATAGGGGGATGCATCGACTCAAAGCTTGAAGAAGAAGCAGGATGAGTCGATGCATAGTGTTTTGTGTCGATGCATACTGAATAATTTTGACAGGATCAGTTTTTAAGTTGTTGTAACTTGAGTTGTAGGATGCTGTTTGAGATGTCGTTCGAAGCGTTGATTAGCTAACGCGATGAACTCTATTTTAGATGATTAAAATGATGATTAAGAGGTGTAATTACAGTAACTAATTTAGGACTTAGGATTAATTCCCATAGATGACCGTTGTGCTGTTTTTAGGACAGAATGATGAATTTTGAGATGTTAGAGGCTGCTGTTAGAATTATGACGGTAGGATTAATGACATAAGTGAAGTAGAACTGCAGAATAATAGTATGGCCTACTGTATTATCAATATACAACTGATTTATTAGTGAGATGTGATTATTAGAGTTGTGCTTGATAGTTATGATGAATAAATGATGTTTAATAAATTATTTTGATGTTATGAGATGTTGTTAATTGAGATGTTTGAGATAATTGAGATGTGATTGAATATGTGAAGTGTTAGGCTTATTTCCAGTGATG